TGCAAAACGAAAGACTCGCGCGGCATGTCCAGAGTGAGATACTCTGTGCATAGCTACCGCAGGCGCTTATCATATATACAATTACGCGACATCTTTAGCGGGAGCGACTATAGTCGCTCGTAGTATCTCAGCRGCATCACATGGAGAGCGACTATAGTCGCCCGTAGTAGCGAAAGGGTTAAAGAAAAAGAAATCCATTATTTTTTTGCTAAATGGCAGCAGTGACGTATATCTCTTATATATATCATAATAACCCAAGACTAACGATCAGGAAGGTTTTGCTGTGTATTTGGTCTATCCACCTTATAGTCTTGACATAGTACCTAAGCGATTACCATCTTTTTACTTCTTCAGTGATACGAAATTGGAATCAAGAGAAGATTGTGAAAATCGTTTAGTCGAGTTTTTCGCTAACAGGGAACCGGGACTTCTATGAGAGAGGCATTATTATAAAACAAATCGGTGCATATTTGACCCAAAATAAAATAATGGATTTCTTTTTCTTTAACCCTTTCGCTACGGAGCGGATCTCCGCCGCGGTACTCCCGCAGTACGGTGCGCTACACCGAAACAGTGCACGGTGCACGCAACCTATCGCCAATATCATATATATGATCAATATATGATCGCCGATCTTCGTATTCAGACGTGCTGGATATGATTTGCCAAAATCTTTTACAATTTTGGGTGCGTATTTCCCGTATCAATATCCCTTTTAATATGTTTTCGGAAGAAAACTTAAATTTATTATATTTCTGCAGTAAGCACTAACGTAATTCGCACAGACCATTTAAGTCGGTGTCGTAATATACTGATGATCGAGGCATTTGGTTTATTATTGAAGCCTGTAAAAAACAAATAATGCAAAACGAAAGACTCGCGCGGCATGTCCAGAGGGAGATACTCTGTGCATAGCAACCGTAAGCGTCTATCATAAATACAATTACGCGACATCTTTAGCGAGGGCGACTATAGTCGCTCGTAGTATTTCAGTGGCATCACATGGAGAGCGACTATAGTCGCTCGTAGTAGCGAAAGGGTTAATCTAATGTATTGTGTATAAATATCTTTTATAAATATTATTTTAAAATTATAATTTAAATTATTTACAAAAAATTATATTTTAATATTATTACTAAGTTTACTCTTAGGGAGGTTGTTTTTTGGACGGGTTTAATTAAGATGAACACTATATTTATCCGTTGAACGTTTCGTCTCTATTTGAGACTTCCTCAGCAATTTGATAGTTATGTTCATAAGTCAATATAACATCATTTTTATTACAGTCATAAGTTTTCACTATCTTATATATAGAGTCAATTTTTAAAAAACGTTATTCTACTATAACTTTTCGAACACTACTGGTTACCTC